ACATATATATATATATATATATATATATATATATATATATATATATATATATATATATATATATATATATATATATATATATATATATATAGATGACATATCTAATTTAAAAACAACATGCAATAGGTTTGGTTAGGTCCCGGGCCTGGTTACATTTCAGGCAAATTATTTTCCACGACCGAGGATCATCCACATCATAATTCCTATCTAATGCGGTATAGTCATATTTAATTAAGAGATTTTTAAAGGTTATTAGAGAGTTAGATTTATCGGTTATTGATCCTGGTAATATGTTCCATATTCTTGTTGTTCTTATCGTATAAATCTGTTGGTAGGTAGAGGTTTTACATTTCATAACTTGGTATAGTTGGTTTAGTATTCTTATATAATTGTTCATCCTAATTAGTATTCTTTTGTAGTCGTATTTTAAGCTATTCAAAACACGAGTAGGAGTTATCAGATATAAAACTCTCGGCTGCGCCTCGCGTTTTATTTATACAAAAAATATGCATATGGCGTCTAAACCCATGTCGAACCTGTGTCGCTTAATACGAGTATACGACATGACTTGCCGTATTTCCTAATCAAAAAACTTGCCGAACTTAAATGAGTTAGACGCCGCTCTTCTGTCATACTTGATCGTTATATTAGGTTATCTATTTTAATTTTCTTGCTTTATGTCGGCTTAGGATATTTCAAGCGATGACTCGCACTCCTTACATAATTTGATGGGGATTTTCATCCAGAAAAGTCCGGAAGTGTTTCAGATACCTGCTGAGGTACGTTACGTCATCATATATTATCATTGCATATTTTACAGGGTGTAAATGATTCTTAACATTTCCACCCAAGAAAATTGTCACGGACATACTTAGCTCAAATTGATCAGGGCTTTAATCTGGTAGTATAGAAAATACAACGCCTGTTTCTTTAGCAAAGCTTTCGATCAGTAAGCTCAGATCATTATTTCTACAAATAAATAATATGAAGTTATAAATCCCGGATTATAGGCCGAAAGATGTGTTAAATAAATAGGTGTACTGTTATTGGAGCCATACAACAACTATTCTCATTAGAAACATGCGTATATGGACTTTTAACACCATGACCTTGCTTTCAGGAAATACCAGAGGCAGTGGATGTTTGGAAGAAATTTCTAGAGCTGCGTTGTATTATCGACTCAAGTTTGCAAAACATTGAGGACAGATGGAAGGATGGCAAGGTTGGGAAATAAGACTCAATATCATGGGGTAGTGGGTTGGTGTGAGTAGGATGGTGGGTGTAGGTACAGTGAGTAGGGTAGGGCAAGGGGGTGGGTTCATGGTGGGAATGGTGGTGGGTGTGGGTAGGATGATTGGGGTGGGTAAGGGGGTGGGGGTACCACAGTGGTTATTGCATGAGTCTTTCAAGCAAACGGGGAAACATTTTCAAGGTGAGCAAATGGGAAGACATTTGAGGAAATTTCCATCGAGATTTTTGGCAAAACTGTTTCCTAGTTTCCCCAGGTTTTATTGCTTAGAATGTGTTTTATTTATTTAAATTTTTTTGTTGTTGTATATTTTCTCAGGGTCCATTAGCACAAGAGTTCAGCTGTAATGAAATAAGAGGATTAATAAGGGCATTGTTCCAGAACACGGATCGTCGTGCGAATGTGCTTGCCAAGATCAGACCTACGTGACGTATTGTTGAATATATGCTTAAATATAAACAGAGTTATTGTACATTATATTTATATTTCAATATCCAAATAGACACCTTTCATAAAGATGACAAAATCAGGTGACAATGACTTGATGTTCTGCATTGGTCTCAGACTGTAGACGATAGAGCCAGAAAATATATTCGTACGCGAAACGTGAGAATATGATTGGTTAAATTATACGAATCTTTCCTATGTTGGCTTGATGTTTGTATTCTATAGAAAAATAGCAATTATTGATAGCTCATTTCTTTGTGTTATCCTACATATAGTACATACCCTTAATTAAATTCATGTGTTTCAGAAACTGGTTTACACTATCAAATTTTCTGTGATCACAGTAGGAATTTTGCATAGGTAAATTCTAAGTTTTGGATGATTTGTAAGAAAAAGTTGGACTCAGTGTTGTAAACACTTTGTCAGATAGAGTGGGCAACTTAGCCATGTGAGATCTATATAGACTTGTCCGGAGTGAGATATTCAGTTATTTCAGTTCGAAAGGTAACTTTGCAGCTAAGAATGGAGTTGGTCTTTTTCCAAAAATGGATTTTTTTTTACTAGAATTTCTATTTTTCATGCGGAATCATTGTTAAAGTTCCTCCTAGCACTGAGCCCTTGACCTTTATCCCCCTAACTCAGTGTTCAACATGGAGTTCGATCCCTCAAACATTTCTTACAAATCCTTCACTAAACTGACTTAGAATTTACCTGTGAAAAAATTCCTACTGTGAGTGTGATCACAGAATTAACTTTGACAATGTAAATCCACTCTTTCTCTAGACTGATTATTTATTTCGCAAGGCATTCGTTTCGACTCCCACAATTTCAGTAGATTATTCGCCCACAATTTGGATCCTATCTTGGAAATTTGGGCCGGGATCAACGATCAGAAACACCTTATTTGGTAAAGTGACATTAACGTTATGGGATACTTTTAGACGACTAGAAACCTGATATATCCATTCCCACGCGTAATCCGCGCGGCAGCGATTTTACTAGAGAGGCGGGGACTTTATAGACAAAAAAAAGTTGTTTGAGTGCGCCTCTATGCAGATGTTTGAATAACAATTTCAATTTTTCTGTCTAATTATAAATGCAAAAATCCAGATAAATCCGATATAAAGATTAGTATCGATATAGTCGCTAATGGCGGAATATTTTTCCTAGGGATAATCCCCGGTGGGCGTGGAAGAGATTATTTCGCTGGCCTCAGAGTGACAAAACGTAACAAAAGCAACTCTAACCCTAACCTAACCCTACTCCAAATTTGTTTCTAAACCAATCTTGAAGAAAAAAGTTTTGAACGAAATGTCATTGTGAGGTCAGCGAAATAATTGTGCCGGTGGGTGTGTCCTTGCAAACGTACCGGAAGTAAGTGTTAATATCCACTTCCGGTGACGTTTCGTAATCCCAAGAGAGTTTGGATAATTTTATCCGGCTACCTGTCCGAAATATTATAATCACCATTTGACAGCGAACTTTGTTTAGATAATATGGCAACGTCTTTAACTCATCTATTTTCAAAAGATCGCGTATGTATTAGCAATGTGGCATAGTATTTAGCATATCTTTTGTGTTTTGTACTGTGTAATGTGTCTACAGTTCTCTGCGGCTGAGAAAAGGCATGCCGATACTGCCAGTTTGTATATAAACACTGTCGATCTTCGGTACATTATATTTCGTGGCATATTACATTACTTTCCTTATATTGTGTTTATTAGACATTTAGGCCGAAGAAAAAATGGGATCAGGGATCTTTGAGGCATGGGCTTCACAAGCAAGCGAAAGTGAGTACAAAAACTTTTATTGTTCTCTCAGATATAAAGCATGGGAATAAGGAAGAATTCTAAATCGCATCCGGTGATTATTTTAACATGTAAATTTGTCATATTTCGGTGATTTTGTTGTCTTTTAATATTAAATTTGTTACATTCGTCACAAATTTTTTACATTGGTCAAAATTTGTTACATTGAGGACTAATTTGTTACATTTATGTTAATTTGCTATAATTTTATATATTGATCAATTATCTGCACTGACCTTTATTTGATACATTGTCAGTAATTTGCTCTCGATTAATTGAATACATTACTGAATAATCTGTTAGATTTTGACTAAATTTCTTATGTTTGTTATTTCAGGCAACTTTACAGTCAGGTCTTGATCTAAGATCTTGTGTCAAATTACCGCCTAACGAAACATTAGAAGACTGGATAGCTGTTCACGGTTGGTACACTATTTTTATTGATTAGCTCTATCAGATATAAGTTCAGTTAGGCCCATCTCGTATTGGGCCTGGTGAAATTATAGTTGCACAAGAGATATAATATGCTTTGTCCAACTAAAATTTCCAGGTTTGAATACTGCAATTTGCAGGATACGAACCTCTATCACAGAGGTACAAGAATTAACCACTGTGATAGCAACAGTCCAATGGAAGCTTGCAGTAAATGCGATGGTGCATAATAAACATGATATAAACATATTTAGGGACAAAAAAGAAAATATATTTATGACAAAATTGCAAGTTTGAGTCAAAAGCATTTTGCTTATCTAGGACTCTTACAGCCTTACTTGCAGACACACACAGAAATAAAAATTTAAAAAACATTTGGTCAAACATTTGGTATGGAGAAACGATTTGTTTCGATTATATACTTTTAAACAGTGGCGGAAAATCTTCGATTTATCTACAGTCTTACTTCTCCAGAGCCGTGTAAACAAAGTTGAACCTTTCCATTACTACTGTCTGACCAAATGCTTCCCACAATTGCACAAGTAAATAGTGCAGTTCTCTGAGCAGCATATCGTGGGCGTGAAACTTGGTAACAAGAACTTGTATAAATTATGTATATATGTGAGCATTTCTGATTAAATATTACATCATAAAATAACAGGTCCCAATAAAGCTTGCGGGACCTGTTATTTTGATAGTTAGTCGCATATCTTGTAAACAAGTCATACTGCTGAAGATGAATCAAACGAGTCTAATGCCAGACAATTTTACTTGTCTAATGCCAGACAATTTTATTTGTCAATGGGGAAGCTCTGCAGCTTAATGGGTTAAAATAAGATGTGCCATTAACATGGGTAAGCATTGTCATTGAATTTCCTAGATAGCATATGGAATTTTGTTTCATTTAGTTGTTGATTTCTTCAACCGAGTCAATTTAATTTATGGCACTGTGTCAGAATTTTGCACGTCAATAACATGTCCTGTTATGTCGGGTGGTCCGAAGTAAGTATAAATATCTCCATGTCAAACAAAGATGCGAGTTGAGAAGTGAGAGTTTGCATGAAAATTTTCTCTACATTTGCCTCGGTCAAATGAGAACAAGATTTATACATGAGAGTTTGTCAGAGTTGCCCGGATATTACCATGCACATAGCAAAAACTCTTGTCAACACTTCAAACCAGCTCAAAGTTCATGAGAGTGCACGCGAGTTGGTAGAAACATGATTCAGTGTTTCACTCTTATCAACTCCCGTGTTCATTTGACTGAGGCTTAAGTTCTTTGTAGGTTTCCATGAGGAGATTAAGGACAGTTCGATTGTTTTGCTTTTATGAAAACGCAATGTCCTGTGGCGGACATACGGTAAAATGTGGAGGGTGTGAATTCACCACATATTCTGTTTGTCTATAGGTACGAGTATCACTGGTCAGATGGTACTAAAAGCAGGAAACCTAGAGCAGTGTCTGCTCCAGAAGTAAGCACTCACAATTTTCCTCAGTTTCTAAAACTGTTCTCTCCCGAGGTCCAGTTTCTTCACATGTGCTGTGGTGAAATTATTATCAGACAACCAAATATTGCAGGAATTGAATTTACATATGCCAATATCTAATGTTTAAATGCTTTGTTATATCTTTTTTTAGTACATGGAACTTTTAATGGCTTGGATAGAAACATTGGTCAACAATCCAGATATCTTTCCACCAGATGACAGTATGTAATTTGAAAAATTAAAACACTATTGGTCCTTAACCCATTGAGTGACAGCACTCTCCTCCTGACGAGTAAAATCGTCTGGCGTTAGACAGAGTAAAAAATACTAAAGTAAGGTGTATCTAGGTGCATTGCTACTTAAAGGGTTAATTAACCCATTGTGTCCCAGAACTCTCTCCTTGACTTGTAAAATTGTTTGGTGGTAAGGCAGATTTCCAGTCTTTGCAGCTCGCTGCGAGTGCATGTATGAGCACTTTCATGAGCACTAAGCAGTTAATTTTAATTAGACGCAAGCACTCACAGCAAGCTGCGAGGTAGCCTGCGTGGCAGGCTGTATTTCTACAGGCAGCGAAAATTAGGGAGGCAAAGGAAATACCTAAGTACCGCCTGCCATGCAGGCTAGCTGCGAGGAGTTTCATGCAAGGACTGGAAATCCACCAGAGCAAAATAATGAAGTAGGGAACATTAGTGTACCAGCTCTTGCCTTGAGGAGTAAAATTGTCTGGCATTACAGAGAGTAAAATAATCATGTGAGAGAGCAAGGAGACCAATGCACTTAATGCCAAAACATACTGTAGGAAAATATTGCAATGTTTGTTTTTTTATTAGGTATACCATTCCCAAAAGCATTTTTACCAACATGTAAGAAAGTTTTGACAAGACTATTTAGAGTATTTGTTCATGTCTACATCCACCATTTTGAAAAGATGGTGTCAAAAGGAGCAGTAAGTATTCATTGGATTATATGTATAATATTGAACCCAAGATGCACCTGTTGGTCTTACTGGTAAATGGTGTTTCAATCCATATTCCATGATCACAATAAATGCACCATTTACCAACACAGGAGTACCCATAGAAATAATAGTAATGATGGACAATAGCAAGTCCTCGGTATTCAATACCAGTTATCCATACCATGATGGGGTCATAAACCACAATCATAGGCCATTGAGGCAGACTTACAGATGAGATCAAATAAGTGACAAAAAAGGGTTAGAGCGGTTTGCAGTTGTTTTTGCAAACAACAGGCACTGTGCAAATTTTGCCATTTCTCTTCCTTTTTGCCAAATCATGTGGTGTGCCAGCCTAGTCAGTGTATATATTACGTTTTGGGTTTATAGTGTTATATGTAGTAATGAATTTTTTCCGCACTGACTGGTATTGAAAGTGACATATAGAAGCAATTTAGGGTAACACTTCTGGTGTCAAATGCGTTTATTTTTTGGTATCAGTATCAACCAATAGAGCTCCAAGTATCATCAGTATTGAATTAAATCACAAACACAGCATTATTGCTTATGTGATACAGAGCAAGCCATGTCATGTGGATTAAGACACTTGAGTTTTAGCATGCTTTATTTATGACAGAACTAGCAACCTAGCAAATTTGAAACGTCAACCTAGGTTTTATTTTGGTTTGTTGACAACAATTTTATGTACAGCAATTTCGAGATATCGTATTCTTTCATAAATTTGGTGGCTCTTAAAAGAGCCGTTTGTTTTTTTACTTGGGAGGAAGCAAATTACGCTTTCTTCTCGGTCTTCTTGGGCAAGAGGACGGCTTGGATGTTGGGCAAAACACCACCTTGTGCGATCGTGACACCAGACAGCAGTTTATTCAATTCCTCGTCATTTCGTACGGCCAATTGCAAATGTCTTGGGATGATCCTGCTTTTCTTGTTGTCCCGGGCAGCGTTACCAGCCAACTCAAGGATTTCAGCAGACAGATACTCGAGGACAGCTGCCAAGTAAACTGGGGCACCAGCACCAACTCGCTCGGCGTAGTTGCCTTTCCTCAACAGACGATGAATACGACCGACTGGGAATTGAAGTCCAGCTCTTGATGAACGGGTCTTGGATTTGGTTCCTTTAGCTTTGCCTTTACCACGTCCTGACATCTTGCTTGATTTGTTTTCTTCTTGAAAGTTTGCTTCCTTGTACTCTTGAAGAGATAAAGTTTTCGAATGAAATATTTGCTGTTTTCTTCGGCTTTTATAGTCGAGATCGGATCATTTGGGAATAAAATTGGAATAAATTATGCACCTTTGCCCTCTTCGCAGAGGTTCGACTTCCATTAACCAATCACGTTAGAGGTGTTAAAGTAACGACCAATCAGAACGCCAGTTGTTCTCCCAAGAGGTTATCCTCGTTAATAACTCACCGACCAATGAGCTTCGCGAATTCCTTTATCCGGTCGTATTCTCGTATATAAACAAATTTCACCAAATTTTCGAAACATAAATTTTAAAAAATATTGCAAAAATATAGAGGCAAAATGCAATGTATTTCTTGTCCTTTTGCTCATACCTATGATACCCTTTTCCCTGTAATATAATCTTTGCGAATTTTCACAAACAGTGTATATATTTTTCGAAAATTCTGTTTATTAACGTATATATTTTGTGTGAATACAAAATGCTATGGCATTGCAAATTGCCAAGAGTCTTCGCAAAATTCGAATTTGAACTGTATTTTATAATATTGGTGGAATACACCGCATTTATTCACACAGGAACTTTATAACAGTAGCGATAAGATTAATACACTGGGTGGAACGGGGGGTGGAAAGCCGATTTCAAACGTAACTTTATACTGAAGCCCAATCTGTAAACCAACTAATGGCAACTATAAAACCCCTTACATATTAAACCAGTGGTAACTGGTAACCAACTATCAATCTATCATGCCTATAAGTGTGTACTGAAAATATTTAATTGGCCAATGTTCACGTTACCATGGATTGTAAAAATTGTTATTTTACAATCCATGATGCTGAAAAGATTTAATTGGCCAAGGTTCACATTAATATGTTGCAGCATTTCTGACTGCATTTTGACTAAAACAAGACATCCCCCTGCCCCCCCCCCCCGGCCATCCCCCTCACATGCACAACCCCAACATTCATTGATAACCATCGGCATATTTCATAATTTTAGTTTTATTTCAATTTTTAGGAAGCCCATGTCAACCAGTGTTACAAACATTTTTATTTCTTTGTCACTGAGTTCAGCCTTGTGGATAAAAAAGAACTGGAACCATTAGTAAGTAATTGTTGAAATCAAAACTTTGTATCAGGAACCCGGCATGTTGGGAATCCTCTGGTATTCCAATATTTCAGTGGGACTAGCCCAACCTTGCTTGTGGGAGGTGAGTGTGAGACTCTTGGAATGAGGTTGACACTAGCCCTGATCTTTTCCAATCAGAGACAGACATTGATATACATTATCTGTTTTCTCCTCTAAAAGAGGTACCTCTCTATCTGTATCAGTCCCTCAGTCTGCACATTGGGAGGCTACTGAGCCTCCTGTACAGCTGTACAACACCCTCTGGATAGGTTAGTTGGATAGAAAGTTGGCCCCCACAACCTTGTGGGCAGGCCCGGAGCTACGGGGGGGTGTGGGGGGGTGTGACACCCCCCCAGTAATTGTATTCAGTCGGCAGGACTGCTATTCAGTCGGTAGGACTGCTATTCAGTCGGTAAAACTGCTATTTGGATTAAATATTTTTGGCGCAAAGGGCAAGAACGTGGTGGGAATTTTAGGAAAATTTTGAGAAAAAATGCTCCAATTTTGGAAAAATGCAAAAAAATGTTGAAAATTTGTTATGTGCGGAAAAATTTTGAATGTTCCGGAAAATTTTTGTACGTCCGGAAAAATTTTTGGACCCCTAAAATGGTACACTGACCGAAATTTTTTTGGCGACGGGGGGGGGGAGGTCGACAAAAAATTTTTGTTCCGGAAAATTTTTTTTGAACCAGTCGGTTGAATTGACCTTATTACACCCCCCCCCCCTGAAGAATTT